AGCAAAATAAGTGTGACAAATCAAGAAAAACAGTGGCATCTCAAATGAAGATGCAATTCAAGTGTCAAAATCAAGGTGCAATTTAAGCATCAAAACAAGTACACAAAGTAATTATCATACCAAACAGGTACACAAGATTTCTTTGATTTTGGTCATCCTTGCAGGTTTTAAACCTATCCTTCAAACATCAACATCTATGTTTTATATGGAAAGAAAAAAATCCTTTTCAAATACCTTGTTACTCCACTTCGTAGTGAGAATTAGTAGATTCAACTCTTTGGGTAGGCCTTTCCCAAGAGGACCCACATCATTCCCATCACGAAGTTTTTCAACCGCTTTCCGATGTATACTTTTCGAAGAAAATTTTAAACCTAAAACTCAATTTCTATATCTTATAAGGATTCTAAAAGTCCTAAGACTTTAACCATTGTCCTCAATGTTGCTTGGCTAAATGCAGTAAGTGCAACAATTCTCCCATTCTAGGGTGATCAGTCCCAAAAAGGGATAAGAGTTGGCCTTCGGCAGAGAGCAAAACAACCGGATGTAGTTGATTTGAAAACATTTAGGCCACCAATAAAAATGTAAAACATGATAACAAACTGAATCAGAGTTCACACCTACACTCTTATAAAGTGACCTAGATCAGATACTTAAGACACTCATAAGCACATTTACAACAATACTCTAACATGGTCCACTAATCGGCCATGCTCTGATACCACTTGTAACAACCCACATTTCACGAGCTTTTTTTTTTTTTTTGTAGACAAACCTTAATTTTATTTATCATCTCATAACACTGACAATAATAACATTATGCGCGCAAAGGACTCATAAAGGAGCACAGGGAAAACAACAAAGAAAACAAGAAATACGAATTTCCCCCCTCCCCCCCAAAAAAAAATAGCTCGTGAAATGTGGGTTGTTACACATGGTAACTATATTGTACAATCTGGATATCACACAGCACTGAACCAAGCCAATGGTGATCCAAATCAGGCACATCTCCAGAATTCAGGCCAGATTCAAATGGAACAAGTAGCCTGGAAACAATTATGGAACGCGAAGGTCCAACCAAAACATAAATTTCTCTTATGGAGAGCAACACGTAATGCATTACCGTCAAAAGAAGGACTTCATAAAAGAGGAGTGAAAAAAGATCTCATGTGCCCTAGATGCTATACAGGCTTGGAAGGTACCTTGCATCTATTCTTTCACTGTCCAATTTCCCAAGCAATATGGAGTTTTGCTTATCCACAATTTCAAAATCTTGCAGATGGTTCTGGTTCATCAATCCTCCAATGGTATGTTAATTGGATAAATTATTCTCCATCTCAGAAGGATATAACTCTTTTTCTTCTTACCTTTTGGAGGATTTGGGTAGAAAGGATGATAAAATTTAGCGTAGTCAGAGTATAGATCCAGTGAATACTTGGAGATTGATCCAACAGGATGTTCAACAAAATCAAAACCAAGTGAATAGCTCTTTGTCCCCTTCAAGCCGCCTTAATAGTTCACAACCAAGTCCCTCATCATCGGATTGTGCGACCATTTTCCATGATGGTTCATTCAATCCCCATACTAGGAAAGCAGCTGGTGCATGGAAGTTGACATCAGCTACCGGTAATCTCATGCAGATTAAGTCTATTCTTTTGGAAACACTATCTCCATTTCAGACTGAAGTGATGACATGCTTCAAAGCACTTCAGGAAGCGGATAGTTTGGGTATATTGCGTGTCCAGGTCTACACTGATTGTGAACAATTGGTCACTAATCATCCTCTCAACTCCCTCCCAGTTGAAGCTCAACAAATAGTGAGGTTACTACGTGTGCTGATTTCTCGCTTTCAATATTACTGTCTGATTAAAGCCAGTCGTTTGGATATTAGTGATTTACACGATCTTGCATATGCGAGAATGCGATGTAATAGTATAGGTATCTCGGAATAAATTACAGGTACCGTAATAATTGTACAACGTAAGTAAAATGCTCCCCCGCTTCTTCTGCAATTCACATCCTCAACTTTTATTTTACTTTGAAAAATGATATTCTTAGTGAATGAAAATCATGACAAAATATAGTGACTGATGTAGAATAATCATGGCTCCATTTTTTTTTGCTACTTTCCCGTTGAAGTTTTATTTTTCTCCTAAAATTATATTTTTACCCTTGATTAATAAATAGACATATTTAACAAGTGGATGTTGTATTTGTCTTTTCATTTGTCACTATATATTTTCACTGTATTTAGTCACTAAATGTATCATTGCTGATTTACTGTTTTATTTGTTTTTCTTTTTTCTCTTAATGATTAGTCTCTATAATAAATTTGAAAATTTGTTGATCTCTATAAATTTATTTTTTTAACAAAAATTTAATAAATAAGTCTACAAAGTTGCTGCAATACACAAAACAAACAATTAGTCTATATAACTTTTCAATCTACATTTTAAAATTTAACACAAATATTATATCAGTATAGTGACCATTTATAAAATTAAAATGGTTTGACGACCAAAATCAAGACTTCTCATCTACTACCACCGAACCACCCAAACCACCACCGGGCCGCCACCCAGCACCGCCGCTTGCCGCCCAACACCGTAGACAGTCGACTGGACCGTTCCTGGCCATTGACCGGGCGATCACTATCCGACGACTATTCGGCGGGGTGGTGGTGTTCTGACGGTGGTGGAAGTAGTTTGGTTGTGGAAAAAATATTATTTTATTCAAAATACTATCCAAATAATTTTTTTTAAATTTTTACTTAATTTATTTTTTAAATCTCTTCCCAAATACAAATGAAAAAAACAAAAAAAAAAAAACGTTATCCAAACAAATCCTAAATATTTCTACTGCCAAAGAAATTCACAAAAATTAATGGTCAACATGAATAAATTTGAATTATTAGGACTTTGTTTCTATGTTTAACAATTGTGAATGGAGATTTATAATTAATATAATTAAACTGAAGCCATTAGATTGTACGACTACATTCCTATTTGTTTATCCTTATTAAATTATCTATGGCTTTGAGTCATGTGTATATAAACAAGATCTTATTTTGTATTTCTTTATATATTGGGTTTTTGGTTCAGACTCCGGAACGTTGGCCGGACATATATATTTATACGTGAATGAGAAGAATAGAGTAAAAAAGAGGGGATGAAGATATAGTAAAGAAGACTATTTAACAAAATGGATTTTGCTTTGATTTCTCCCATCTTCTACAAAAAATCTTTGAAGTGGATTTTTCAAATCATTTTTTTGAGAAAACTTGCAAAAAATATCATGACTTACAAATTAAATTTTGCAAGAGATATTTTAGAAAATGTTGAAACAGTGAACATAATTTGCAAATTGAATTTTGTAAGCCATGTTTTGGGAAAACTACAATAGAGATCACAACTTGCAAATTCAATTTTGCAAGCCATGTTTTGGAAAAATTTATGAAAGAAAGTATAACTTGCAAATTAGATTTTCCGAACCATATTTTGGTTAAAGAAAATAGATCCAATACACAGTTTAATTTTAGAGAAAAGAAAATCAAATATACTAGTTTCGAAGTCCAATATGGCTTGCATAATAGAAAAAATAATTGTATGTTATGAAAGATTTGGTGAAACTTATCATATAGAAATTGTAATTAAATTTTGCAAAACATGTTGTTGGATAATCCAAAAAAGTGAACACTACTTGCAATCTGTTTTTGCAATCAATGTTTTAGGAATTTTAAATACTTAACATAATATCCAAATTTGTTTTTAGAATTCATGTATATAAGTAAATATAGTGAAAAAGAGTCTGTATCCAGTATACCCGGGGGAACCGTGTAGCCCTCCTATTTTTTGCATTTCTAGTCCTTATTGTACTTTTTTTTAATCAATTTTTCTATATTTTGTAAGTTTAGTCCCTGTCATTTTTTTTCTCTTTTCCAGAAAAAAAAAACCATCTCTAATCTTTTAATGAGCATATCTCCCATTCAATGAAGAATTTATAAACAAAGTATATATGAAATTTATAGTACTCGTCGAGATCTATCCAACAAGATCCATAGTGAATATTTTTCCGGGCTTAAAAATAACTTAATTCTGATGGGAAGAATAAAGGTGGATATCCAGTTTTAAAGATAGATAACCAACTTGTTCTAAATTGGTTATCCATTGTGTTCATGCTGATTATCCAATCAGTTTGAACTGGTTATCCATTTTATTTGTACTGCTTATCTATTTGGTTTGTATGTCTATCCAACTTGTTTGTAATGGATATCCCACTTGTTTGAAATGGATATCCAACTCGCTTGTACTGAATATCCATCAATTTGGTTTGTATGCTTATCCAACTTATTTTGTAGTTGTAATCCAACGGGTTTGTATGCATATTCAACTTGTTTGTGTTGGATATCCAACTCGCTTGTACTGGATATCCATCCACTTCATATTGATTATCCAATTTCTTAATTCAAAATAAGTTGGTTATCTATCTTTTTAAACTGGATATCCAATGTGTTCATATTGATTATCCACCTTCTTTGTGGTGGTTATCCAGTATTTTTTTAACTTGCTCTTTTATAAAAATGATTGTCAAACTTTTTTGTATTGATTATCTAACGTGTTGCACTGATTATCCAATTATTTTCTATTGATTATCCAAATTGTTTGCAATACTTATCCAATCTTTTTTTTTTTTTGAAGAGTGAATGTCAAAAATATGATTAAATAACAAGTACAAACAGAATGGATAGTTATTCCAAACCGGTTGGATAATCAGTAGGAACACAATGGATAACCATTTTTCAAAGAAAAACGAAAAACACATTTCTTCATTTCTGCCCGTAAAATTTAAATGGATTTAAAATTCAAAACAAATATTCAATATGGATCTTATCGGATAGATTTCATCGACCACTATAATTTCATGTATAATTCGTATTCTAATTCTTTACGGATCAAGAGATATATGCAATACAAGAATCTTATTAAAACTAAACTGGTTATCTCTTTCTAAACTAGATATTCATCTTATTCTGCCCATCGAAATTTAGTTATTTTTAAACTCGAAAAAAATATTCGACATAGATCTTGTTGGATAGATCTCGACGAGTACAATAAAATTCACTTGTAACACATTCTCTAATTCTTTACGGATCATGACATATGGTCGTTTAAAGATTAGAGATATTTTTTAAAGAAGAGAGAAAAAAAATCAAAGAGACTAAACCTATAAATTATAGGATGTTATTTAGAAAAGTGAAAAAAAGTGTAGTAAAGACTAGTAGTATAAAAAATATGAGGGGGAGTATGGATATATCGGATAAATTGCCCTAAAAAGTATATTTCCTAAAAATATGAAGAATTAATAGTAAAATTGCAATTCTTCCTTTTTTCCCCCTCCCCCTTTATAATCTTCCTTATCCTTCGGTAGAGAGTTTAGACTGACCTCCTTCTGCTTCTTCTTCTTCCCTAGTCCACCCACTCAAAAGGAATGAAGCTGTGATCATAATTAGTAAAACTGAGAAAACACTAGAATATAACATATCTAAAAGCCAAGGCTTGTGCAATAACTCCAGTGGATGCAGTAGCAATTACACATGCAGAGGGCTTTCAAAGAAGCTAAACACAAATAAATAAATAAATAAAATACAATACTCGTTCATTTATTTCTCCAATGGATGCATAGGCAAATTTCCTTCCTTGGGTTTCCAAATTTTCTATTTCCTACACCCCGGTTATTACAACCAATTTTTTTGGCATACACGATACCTTATCTTCGGGGGGTCATAGAAGGGCTGAAGCAGGGGAGGTGGCGACGGCGGATGTGGTAGAAAAGGTTGCCTGTGAAGGTGACATCGATGATTACCGTGCCGCCGCCAATCCGACGAATTGGAAACTGGGAGGAGAGGACGGAGGGAGGAAATAGTTTTAATTGACTGATGAATAGAGATGGAGAAATACTCTGAACCAATAACTGTCCACTTGGTAGTTGGTACTCCCGCTTAGGAGGTAAAATGTAATATTTCCAAAAATAGGGGTTTGTTCTGTTAGAGGTCCAAAACTTGAGGAGGTAAAGTTGTAATTCTCCATTCTTTCTCCCTCCCCCTTTAATCTTCCCTTATATCCTTGGGTTTAGACTTTAGAGTTTAGGCTGACCTCCTTCTGCTTCTTCTTCTTCCCTAGTCCACCAACTCAAAACTCAGCGGCCAGCAAGCACTAGCATTGAGATCTAATCCGAATCCCCTGGTCCTTATTTATCTTGAATATCGTCGTCCATTGTGTGTCCCTGCTCTCCTGGTCGACTGTGATGATCTCAGTGACGTTTTTGACCGACCGACCAACCAACCAAACCACCCTAGTAAAAGGGGCAAGCAGAACTAAAGGTTATATTTTTCTTCGTCGGGTGACCGTGCGGCCATCGCCTAGCTGGATCTTAGCACTTGGTCTACTGGTGTAGGTGGGTTTTTCAATAAAAAACTTTTTTTTTTTTAATGGTTAACAAACTGGAATCTTTTTGAATTTCTTTTGAATTATTAAGAAGCTTTGGCCAAATTAACAAATTAGAATCTTGTACTCCTACTTGTATATGTTTTGATACGATTAGGACTATTTTAGGATGACGTTTGAATGTAGTTTAACTGCTTTGTAAGAGCTTTGGAAACTTTGTACTGCCTCCGAATGGAATTAGATATCTTCTGCTACCTAAGTTTTCTTTTTTTGAGCTCCTCAAAACAGTCAATCAATTCTACTCAGTACTTGTCTTGCCTTCTATTATTTTGATTCTCCTTCCTTTTTTTCCCACTGGGTTTGATGTTTTTGTCCTTTTGGATATGAAGCTTGAAGAAAGTTTTGATCTTTTTGGATGGGGAGAAAGATCATCTCAGATTTTCAACTTAAAAAGGTAAACCCCATTGCCAAGCCAATATCTTTCATGATTTTTAAGGTATTATGACAGAACACTTGTGGCAGATTCTAATATGTTGATTGTCCATCCATCTCCCCCCCTCCCCTGAAATAGTGTGAAAAGAAAGAGTGGCAACTTGATCGGATTAGTCAGCTCCCAGATGAAATTCTTGTTTGTATCCTTTCTTTTTTGAGTCTTGAAGCTGCTGCTAGAACAAGTCTTCTGTCAAAACGGTGGGCACATCTTTGGTTGTCTGTTGCTAGTCTGGATTTTGAGTCTGCAAAACTCTTGAAAGGGATTGAAGGACTAAATCTGTTATTGAAGTCAGATCGGGAAATTCGCCGTGGCTATCGTCAAAAGTATGTTGATTGGGTGAACAAGGTGATCCAGTCACGCCGGGACTCTGTTTTGGATGTATTTAGAATCCACTACCATTTGGACAAGTCCTTTGGTGATGATATTGATAAATGGCTGCAGTATGCGTTTGCCAAGAGAGTGCAGAGGCTTAGTTTGGACTTGCTTCAATTAGATTACGAAATGTCTTATGCTTTTCCTTGTCACTTGTTTGGCTTGAGTGATGGGAACGGTTCTTCATTATCAGTTTCTGCTTCCCGTGCAAATCATATCAATTCTGATGTGTTGTTTGGCCTCAAGACCCTCAGGGCGTTGACCTTTTCATGTGTCAATGTGTCTGGAGGAGTTCTTGAATTTTTCTTGCATAATTGCCCTTTTCTTGAATATATGCTGGTGGACAGCTCTGGTGGTCTGAAAGAATTAAAAGTTGTTGGTCCATCTCTTGCACTGAAACATCTTGTCATAATTTACTGTGCCTATTTGCTTTCTCTTGTTGTGCGCGATACAAATATTGTATCCCTTACAACTACTTCGGGTTATAGCCTGGTTCTTGAGAATGTTCCAATGCTTGTGGATGTTCATGTTGCTGGAACCCCTACTGGAACTGGAAGGTGGTCCCGTGCAAACTTCGTGGAGAAGGCTATTTCCTGGATCTCTTGCTGCCTGTCGAAATTGGAAGCTCTTACCTTAGAACTGCAGGATTGGCAAGTCGAATATATGCATGATTGGCAATTGGAAGTGGCAAAGGTTAGCCTTTATTGATCATTCAGAAATTTCCTTCATTACTTATATAAATCTAAGTCATTTTAATTTGACCCCTTCTTTCTGTATGATGTTTTTGCTTTTTGGTCATTCCAGAAAAGAGAGACAAATGCCGAACTTCCTCAGCTAACTAAATTGAAGCAACTAACTTTATCTGTTAGCGTACCAAGGAAAAGGAGCCTGATTGCATTTACTTCTCTGATTAGGGCATCCCCCAACTTGGAAAAGTTTGTTATGAAGGTATTATACTTTTACTTATGCTTTAGCCTGATTGCATTAATCTCTTTTGTAATACTAGTTAAATTAATTACAAGAGCTTGGTAGTCAGAAATCTTAGAACTTGAAGTATTGAGCATAACTACTCGCTTGAGCAGGGATAGTTAGCAATATGCATAGTAATTTCAGTTCCTCGGTGAGCTTTGACTGAGTTGGACAACCTTATTTATTTTTTTTAATTATAAAATCTTTTACAATATCATTCTACATTTAATAGTTATGTGCTCCTGCGTTCGAAGATAAAAATTATTTTTTTGAACTACAACAATACCATAAAGTGGAATTTTTAAACTGGGACGTGGAGATTGCCTAATAATTTTAAATCCTACATTTTGTAAATATACTGCATAATACATATGGTAGAAATCATTATCCATGAATTGATAGAGTCTATTAAATAATAAATTTTTCTAGTCCCAGATTGAGATTGGGGAATTCAAAAGCCACTAGATAAATACAGGTCCTGTCAATAGATTACATTAATAATTACCAAAAATACCCCAAAAATAAGATTTACTAAACTATGAGGATTGAGGCTATTGATGTTTGTTTTTTCTTGAAATTTATATCTAATAGATATGATCCTTTTCTTTTTCTTTTTGGTTGCATCCAAAAGGTCTAAAGTCGTTTTCTCATGGGCAATTTTTTTTTTTAATAATAGATCTACTAGAAAAAAAAACCCTTTAAATTAATATTTTATGAATTACCAATCTCTATAGATGAGCAAATTTTGGGAGCCATTAGTATTTATAATAGTTTTTTATTTTATGTATGATCGACATGAGTTACCATTCGTGTCCATGGGTTTGAAATTTCACTACTGAGCTTGATTTGAGTACTTAATCTCACAGCTTTAACTCAAAAAAAATTTGACAACACCTTGGTGAGCTTGAGATCAGTAATGAGTGGCGTACTGTTACAGTGCCAATGTGGAGATATCTTTGCTCCGTGTGTTGTTAGAGATTGTTGATGATATTATCCTCGTTTTCTCGATTTAGGTTGTGTTCAATTGATATATGTATATTTATTTTTTGCAGTCTGTCATGAGTAGAACACCCAGGAAGGAATGGCCTCGGAAGATACGTAGAGCTTCTATTGTAGGAGTTCCCCATGAACATCTCAAAGTTGTCGAATTTTGGGGACACTATGGACGTAGGTTGGATGTGGAAATTCTTGACTATTTCGTAAAAAACAGTGTTGCCCTAGAGAAAGTTGTTGTTGATCCTCGTGATCGTGGTTATCTAGATAATCGTCCTCGAGGTGATTATTTTGATGAGGAAGATCCAGTTTTTAAAAATTCAGTTAAGCAAGGGCTCCGAGCATTTTTACCTGATCATGTGGAATTAGTATTTCTTTAGGTGGGAGAGGAAATTGTCTCCGTTATAATCATCTAGAAAGGTGGGAGGATGTTATCTTGTAACTTATTTCCTGTGTAACTTGTAACTTATAATCATCTATTTGTAGTGTAACTTATTTGTTGTTAAGTTGTTGCATTTTATATATCTGTGCTTTTGTTGTAACTTATGATCTGTTTAGGGCCTTCATAATCCCAGATGAGCTTTTGATTTGATATATCTGTGCTTATCTGATTCAAAAAGAAAGAAAAAAAATGAAAAAAAAAAGTTGTTGCATTTTATTTAAGAAAAATAATTTTTCTTCTTATTGTGGTGTTGCCATCTTAGTTACTGTTTTTAAACTGGTCAGGCTTTATATATTTGTTAATGAACGAGTAATCTACACTGTTTTATCACATCTCTGATAGGTGTATTTCTGTGTTTGGAGTTTTTTTTTTTTTTTTTGGAAAACTTATCACTTATCATTAACAGAAAGTACATGATTACAACGATGTAAGATGAAAAGCAATCCTATGGACGTCCTCAACCCTATCTCGCGACCTACTTTAACAATAGAGCATCTAGTAAACTTATTCTTAACATAAACTAATGCTGCTGCCAAGGTTTGTGCCTCTATTGGGAAATCAAATTCATTCAATTTGTGGCACTCCAAGGCGCAACAGTCGGTGTAAACTATAGCCGATGTCAAACCCATATGCCAAGCTTCATGAAGAGCCAATTGACACGCATGTACCTCCGCCTGTAAGGCAGACAGGGCATGAATTGTAGTCCCTTGGATTTGTAAGATAGTTTCTTGCATTGAGCAAATTTTCCAAGCAGCAGCAGCAGCCTTCCTTGTTGTTCTGTTTGAAAGAACCATCACAATAGATAATTGCTTGATGAAGCTGGTCAAGTGGAGTGAACACATCCTCTGAAGCTGGCTGTAGCGTATTGGGTGTAGCCTTCTGGAACAACCGTGTATTAAGCTAGTAGTCATTGCTTGACAGCAACCAAATAGCATGCGGGTCCTTTTCTTTATTTTGCCACACTTTAAGATTTCTGGACGACCAAATCTCCACAAAATATGGATTGACAAACTAACCTCAGCATCTGTTGGGGCTGTTTGGATCCAATGTTTAACCAGTCCTTGAATCCTTGAAAAGAGCTTCCATAAAAACTGGAGCTTAATGTTGAAATCCCCCAAACTTGTACAGATTGATCACAGTGGAGAAATGCATGTGCTATGTCTTCTTGTTGTTGGCAGCGAGGGCAAACAGTTGGAATGTCAACTCCCCGCTTTTTCAAAGCTGTTTTTGTTGGCAACGCATCTGACAGTGCTCTCCAAACCAGCAACTTGTACTTAGCAGGAAGAGCTAACTGTCATAACTTTTTCCACATACTCTTATCAGCATCAGAGGGCTGCAGCCGAGAGTTGTACCGGAGGTTCCAAGCTTTATAATAGTCCGATTTCACTGTGTATAGACCACTTTTAGCTTCTGTCCATATCAGCCTATTAGACTGGGTCTGTAAGGTGAGATTAAGATATATACCCCGTATGTTGCACACAACTTCTAGCGAAAAGAGAAAATTAAGCCATCCTCTATAAGGTCAACAACCCGTAAATCGACATGTGATAACACTGTTGGGTTCGTGTTAATGGGATTGAGAGAGAGAGAGATGCCTCAAACTTTCAATTGAAAACCACCTTCTCTAGAGTTTAACCTTCTGCCTGCACATTTAAAATATGTATATATTGGGGTAAGTAATACTTTACATGTGATTATTTCTTCTATGCTTACAGGTACTCAAGAGGTCAAGTTGCTAAGGGTGCTGAGGTTGTACAAGGAGGCCATTGGCTGGTCAATTGCAGACATAAAGGGCATCAGTCCTTCTATCTGTATGCGCAAAATTCTATGCTAAGCCAACTATTGAGGGACAAAGAAGGCTCAATCCAGTCATGAAAGAAGTGGTAAAGAAGGAAATTGTAAAACTGCTTGATGCTGGAATTATTTTTCCAATTTTAGACAGTGAATTGGTGAGTCCAGTTCAGTGTGTTCCAAAGAAGGGAGGGATCACAGTAATAAAAAATGATCTCCAAGAATTAATTCCTAGAAGGCTGAACAATGCATGGAGAGTGTGCATGGACTACAGGAAGCTCAATAAGGCTACCATAAAAGACCACTTTCCACTTCCTTTTATTGATCAAGTGTTAGATAGATTGGTTGGATTCATGTATTACTATTTCCTTGATAGTTTCTCAGGTTATAACCAGATTGTCATAGATCTTGATGATCAAGAAAAGACAACATTCACCTGCCCCTATGGTACATTTGCCTTTAAGAGAATGCCATTTGGTATGTGCAATGCACCTGCAACCTTTCAAAGATGCATGATGGCCATCTTCTCAGATATGGTAGAAGGTAAATTGAAATCTTCATGGATGACTTCTAGGTCTTTGGCAAGTCATTTGATGCATGCCTGGACAATCTTGGAATGCCATAAAATTTCAGAAAAAGGAACTGAAGTGCACAAGGCAAAGATTAAAGTCATAGAGAAGCTCAGTCCACTAATAACAAGCAAAGGAGTAAGAAGTTTCCTTGGCCATGCAGGATTCTACAGAAGGTTCATTAAGGATTTTTCAAAAATTTCTAAACTGTGTAATTTGCTTGAAAAAAAAACTGTTTTTATTTTTGATGCATCCTGTCTACATGCATTTACTGAACTAAAAAAGAAACTGATTTCTTCACCTGTGATCATCACACCTGATTGGTCACAGCCTTTTGAACTAATGTGTGATGTAAGTGATTTTGCAGTTGGTGCTTTACTTGGACTGAGAAGGAACAAGGTGCTACATATGGTTTATTATACTAGCAAAACCCTCAATCCTGCATAAATCAACAACACAACTACAGAGAAAGAAATGTTGGTAATTGTATTTGCATTTGACAAATTTGGAGCTTACTTATTCGGAATGAAACTCATAGTCTACACGGATCATGCTACTATCAGGTATTAGATCAATAAAAAGGAATCTAAACCTAGATTGATCCGTTGGGTATTGCTTTTGTAGGAATTGGACTTGGAAATCAAAGACAAAAAAGGTGCAGAAAACCAAGTTGCAGACCATCTGTCAAGACTTGAAGAGATTCCAGAAGATACAACTCCAATTTCAGAAAAATTCCCTGATGAATCACTCTGCCGAGTGACAGACACACTCATGGGAATGACAGGTAACAGACCTTGGTTTGTAGATTTTGCTAACTATGTTGTTCCTGGTGTCATTCCTACAGATTTAACTTCTCAGCAATGCAAAAGATTCCTCCATGATGCTAAGCTCTACATGTGAGATGAACCCTACTTATTCAAGAAATGTGCAGACCGATTGATCAGAAGGTGCATTCCAGAAACTGAAATTGCTGAGGTCCTACACAAATGTCATAGCTCTCCATATGGTGGACATTTCAGTGGTCAAAGAATAGTAATTAAGGTTCTGCAATCTGGACTTTATTGGCCTTCAATATTTAGAGATGCAAGAGAATTTGTCAAAGGCTATGACAGATGCTAAGGGATGGGTAACATTTCATGGAAGAATGAGATGTCGCAACAAAACATGCTGGAAGTCGAGCTGTTTGATGTGTGGGAAATAGATTTCATGGGTCGTTTCGTGTCTTCTTTTGAAAATTCATACATTCTGCTGGCAGTGGACTATGTTTCAAAATAGATAGAAGCCATAGCTACAAAGAACAGTGATGCCAAGACTGTTCTAAGATTCTTAAAGAAAAACATCTTCATCAGATTTGGTACACCCAGGATGATAATCAGTGATGAAGGATCACACTTTTGCAACAAGTCATTTGCAACCATGGTAAAGAAGTATGGGATCAGGCACAGAGCATCAACACCATACCATCGATAGTCAAATAGCCAAGCTGAAGTTTCAAACAGGGAAGTGAAGGGAATTCTGGAAAAGGTTGTCAACTCTACAAAGAAGGATTGGTCTTCAAAGTTGGATGAAGCTCTATGAGCATACAGAACATCATTTAAGACTCTCATTGGTATGTCTCCATTTAAGTTGGTTTATGGAAAGGCATGTCATTTGCCAGTGGAGTTGGAGCACAAGGCTTACTGGGTTATTAAGGAGCTTAATCTTGATCCTAAGGCAAGCAAAGAGCTCAGGTTGATGCAGATGAATGAACTGGAAGAATTTAGGCTTGAAGCATATGAGTCATCCAGAGTCTATGAGGAGAAAACTCAGGCCTATCATGATCAGGATATTGTGAAAAAGAAACTGCAAGAAGGACACTTGGTCTTGCTATACAACTCTAAGCTAAAACTCTTTCCGGGCATACTGAAGTCAAGATGGACTGGCCCCTACAGGATCAACAAAATTTTGAATCAAGGAGCAATAGAAATCATGAATCTGCAAAATGGTAACACCTTCTTGGTCAATGGACAAAGGCTAAAGCCATATCTTAGGCTGGCAGATGGAAGTAAAGGACAGGACAACCATGTCTTGGTCCTAAAGGAGCTCAACTAAAACTCTTTTTTTTAGTCCGACATGAGACTTTAAACCAATGTGCTTTATGAGAGGCAACCCATACGTTTTGATTGTGATTGATTTTGCAGGAACAGGAAAAAGAATTTTTCATCCCAACTTGATTTTAAAAGTGCATACAGAACACTAACACACTCCGGTAAACTCACTCCCAGGAGTGAAAATGTCACTCAGGAGAGTGAACTGACAACAACTTATCATTGTAAGTCATTCAAACCCTAATGTCACTAACACGAGTGGAATCTCACTCGCCTGAGTAAGTACAACTGGATAAGGTTTTCATCACATACTGTGCATCTGAACTTTATTTTGAATATCAAGTTTGGGGGAAAATTTTTCAAAAACAATTCTTGATTGGCGGGTCAAACAAAGAGTTTTGAACTCCTAAAAACTCCAGTACTCTCCATTCAATGTACTTATAGTCAGCCACAACTCCCTATATTTAACTATTTCAACATTAATTAAAAACTTTCCTCCTCCTCCTTCTTCTTCTTCTTCTTCTTCTTCTTCTTCTTCTTCTTCTTCTATCAGTGAAACCCTTGCCCCTTCAATTTCCACTCCTGCGAGTGTGAATTTTGCTAATCATTTCTCTCAGATTTCAGATTACAACAGTAGGAAAGCAATTAATCAAAAAGCCCTCTCTGATTA